AGGAGACTCTTCTCGGATACAGGTAAACTTGTGATTGTGATTTTGTTCCGATAATCAGATCCACTGTTTGTTCTGTTTGTGATGTTTTAAAACTGCTGTAAAACTGCTTCATTAGAAAGGAAAAGGAGAAAAAAGTGCTGATACCCTCGCCTGAACCAGTTACGTGACGGACGATAGCTTCAATGGACAAGTGGAAAGCAGTGCTGTGAAATGTGTTGTAGTGTCAGCTACAGTTTTTGTGGCGTGATGATGGACATTCTGAATACTAAATACAATAGAAAGTACCAGCTCTTAAGTACCACTTTCTAATACAGAGATTCCAGATACAGCATGTCTAGGTGATACAGGTGCCTGGACACTGAGGCCGCATTCTCTCTGCCTTTCAGGAAGCAAAAAGCTCCAGAAGCCCTGCTCCAGAGATCCCTTACAGTTAGATTAAGAACGAGCCTATTAAGGAGGACGATGGTGCATCATGTTCTCGTTAGTGTTAAAGTGCAGGTGGTTTTTTCCTTAATCACCTCAGTGTCCGTCACGCTGCTCAGCAGCTCGGTGACAGCAGTAAGCCTTTCCTTTTAACCACTTTCCCATGGATTACAGCGCCCTTGACTTTCCGGCTATACGCTTCTATTAGTTCCATTACCAAATGCTTAATCGGACCATTAATCAGAAGTAGCTCCTTCTGAACTGCTCTCACAGCTACTAAGTTTCACATAAAAGGTAAAAAAAGCAGCCAAAGTCTGGGTAATGGTCTGAATACCCTACACATGCACGCGTGCCCACACACATGCTGTGCTTTCAGTCTTTGTGGACAAAACATTTTAAAAATGCTTAAAAAAGCTGCCCAAATGGCTCTCATTTTATCCTCCATACCAAACGAACACCATGTCAAAATATACTATGAACAAAAATAATAAGTCATTAAATATTTAAAGAGAGGAAGCTGAAACATGCTCCCAACGTGAAACAGTAGCAAAGCACCTCAAATATACAGCCTAGAGGTTACTGATACACATTCCAAAATGCCCTGCAATTCCTCTGTATTCTGTTACTGCATCCTCAAATAAAGCATGTCCTAAACTGGGAATCCCTTTTTAAGTATTTGAGTTCATAGTTAAGGAGACTCAGATAGACGTGTTCTTTCCACAACCCCTACAAAACCTGTGTTGTCAGGTTGAATAGCTAGGTACTCCAAAACGGCTTTGCCTCAAGCCTTTTCTAACCGCAAACAGAGCCAGCAAAGACAATTCTGGGAATACTTTCAAATAACATTAATACGTTTGTAACAATCATTACACACATGCATCTCAATAAATTCTTTGCTGAAAGGCCTAAATCAAATGCTATACTCTTAAAAACAGAAGTGAACTATTTTATGATCATCATTATCATTAACAAATGAGATATACTACTATAAAGAAACTTTTTAAAGTTTAAAAACCCATTTCATAATGCAAAGCTTCTATAAAGAAAAGAACATTTAAGTTTGTATAGAAGCATTACGTTATGTGAAGGTTCTTTAAATCTTTAAAAGGTTCTTGACACAAATCTGTTTTTCCAAGTTGGTGTCACTCAAAGAATCATTTGTGGCACCTTTTTTTTTAAAGAGTGTGCAGTAATTCTAGTAATATTTCTATATTTTTGTCAAAAGGTTTCCTCACAAATGTGTTAGCAGCAAAGAGTTAATAGCTCCCCTCCTTCACAGCTCTGCTAGCCTGAGTCCTGCGTCTTGCTTCCTCTGGGCCACACTGGTACTTGAGCTTTTGGTTTTTATGTAGTCAGCAGGTGGCATCATTAGCCAGGGAATAAAAATGAAAACTAATACCCTGGAGAATAGCAATGATATCATAGCAAGGCTTTCTGGCACCTTTTCTGCTCGCTGTGGAGTGCAGAGTAGGGGGTGAGGAGGTGTAAATTTAATATGTTTCTTGCTGTTGGTTTTGTTTTATTCAAACAGACTGCACAAACAGGGCCGAGTCTGAGGCACTGGGAGGACGCTGTTTTACAAGACTACCTCTTATACTGACTCTTGATGACTCATTAATTTGAGTCCTGCCATGGATTGGGTCAAAACGTCATTAGTACAGTGATGATCACATGACGCTTCAAACAATGCACATTCATAGTTGAGACCACATGTGCTGCAAGGAGCATAATAGTAGCACAATGGTATTCAGGCAGAATGCATGGTTGCCGTCTCTGGAATGATTCAAATACCTCTGTAGAGCGGTGTGCCAGCAAAGACTGTATATAAAGCTGTCACAGGAACCCTCAGGGCAAAACCATATTTGAGTGTTTCATGAGTCTATTGAACCGTGATCTCTCTCCCATGGTTCTCTCAATAAGCATGATAAATAAAGGAAGGAAGCAAATCTAAAGCTTGGCCATCTGCCACAGCATTTCAAAAAAGTCGCTCCTGGCTTCACTTACTTCAAAACAACAAAAACCATTCCTCCTTTTCACCCTCCTAAAAACATCCAGATCAGGGGCTGTGCACGGCTTCGGCAGCCTGCAGTTGGAGCGCACAAGACCTGAGGAAGGTGTAATTAGTACAGCCATGTAAGGCTAATTTGGATCTCTTTATCACAAAGGATACACTCACCTTTGCGCCTCTGCCACTATTTTCCTCAGTGATCACCCTCTCAGCTCCCACTCACTCACATGCCAAAATGTATTAATTAAATAAATAAATATAAAACTTTGATTCCATTAAGAGAATTATATTTCTGAGTATCTGAGATCACACAGTTCTCGTCGAAAAATAGGGGAGCAGAAAACGTGTGTGTGCCAGTACCCCGCAGAGATTGCCTGATTATTTGCAGATGGGCAGTGCAACCGGAGTGAAGGTTCCCCTTGGCATGCCATGCATATGATTAAACCTATGATTGCCTCCCAGTTCAACATCTCGGAGAAGGAGAAAGCCAGAAATGCATATCTGCTCTAAATCATCTCTTTCTTCAGCCATCTCAGTGTCTCAGAGTCAACTGTCCTATACTGAGCTGACAGGTTCCTACATTCAGTCGGTGCTGCTCTGCACAGTAAGGCTTACATGAGACACTTATAAGTTTTCACCTGTGGGAAAAAAAATTACATAGCCTTCATTTCTTCCTCCATGCAACAGGTTCAATCCCTAAAGGCTGGATTAGGTATAGTTTTGGGTTTAATTACAGTCCCACCAAGGAAAATTGTTTTTAGTCTAGGCTTAGGGTTAATCAGGGTCTGGGAAACTGGCCCTCAGAGAGTGATACCTGAAGTGATACGTGAACCAACCAATCAGTGCTAGTTATCTGTGATCAATTAGAAGTGGCTGCCAGTGTTTGTGATCAATTATCTAACATTTGAGATGAGGAGACGTTTATTCACCTTTTCATCCAAACCCCCTCCACCTGAGAATAAAGTCACTTCTTTCAGTCACACCCCTCAGTTCCACCTGCAGGTTCAGGACCCCAGACAGCAGGAGAGATTTAACTTTGCAGGAATCTGTGTAGCTAAAGGAGCATAAATACTGAGCTAACACTGATAGCACGTAACTGAAGCCTGTGCCGCAGCGTTAGCCGACCTGAGATTAAAGTGGTCAGTTCTCGTGTTTGTGATGACGGTCCTTGTGAAGCGAGGTCAGTGAGACTGGTGAGAACGAGCTCACACTTACATAAAAGCCGCTAAGTACGAATGTTTACTTAATTTGGCAAGGCAACAAATCTGAACCTGGCACGGAGTCCTTCAGTTTTGGGAGTGTAGGCTACCTGCTGCTCACTTCAGTTTGTTAAAGGCGCCCGCAGACTGCTAACATCCCCAATAGCGGCAAAGCAGAGCAGTAAAAGCTCTGAGACAGATCAGCAGTAATGTAAACTGAGACAAGTCAGTATCCCGTCATTTCATAGGGTAAAGTTAGGTAATGTGGCGGTGAAGCACCAGCTGATGCGTGACGTGTGTCCATGTCCACAGTGCGACGGTCACGACCGGCACAGTTATCTTTACTACCACAGTAAACCCAGACCAGACCTCTCACAGGCTGCTCACGACAAGTCATAAGAACATACACTGAACCAAAGCTACACTTCTGTTTCTGAAGGGATAAAAACGAGGGAAAATTGATTTTCTGGCGCTCAGGACAAAAGTGTTTGTTAGCCAGGTAAATGTGAATCTAAATGAATACGGTCATTTTAACCAACCAAGTTACTGAATTAAGCATCATTACAAAACAAAAACCAAAAACCACACATCAGGTTATACAGTATAACAATTATATTAGTGCTTTTGTCTATGCTTAATTTTAATGACTATTAAATTGAGCATATTGGAATAAAACAACACAAGAAACAAAGAAAAAAAACAATAATATAACTGTATTGGACAATTTTGATAAAAACGAATAAGTGTAATATACTGTGATCAATTTCAAAGTGCCACTATATGAGAGCCACCAGGTGGAAATGACTGAGTGGCAATCGTGTCAGTATATTAGAGTCTGTATTAGTTTGTCTGTACCAGTGCAGTGAGGTTATATCAGCTTGTCTATATTAGTGCAGTAAGTCTATATCAGTGCAGTGAGTGCAAATCAGTGTGTCTATGTCAGTGCAGTGAGTCTGAATCAGTGAGTCTCTATCAGTGCAGTGAGTGTATATCAGTGTGTCTATGTCAGTGCAGTGAGTCTGTATCAGTGTGTCTATATCAGTGCTGCATGTATCAATGTGTCTATATCAGTGCAGTGAGTCTAAATCAGTTCAGTGAGTCTGTATCAGGGTGTCTATATCAGTGCAGTGAGTCTATTATTAGTGTGTGTATCAATGCAGTGAGTCTGTATCAGTGTGTATCAGTGCAGTGAGTCTATAATCAGTGTGTCTGTATCAATGCAGTGAGTTTATATTAGTGTGTATCAGTGCAGTGAGCCTATATCAGTGTGTATCAGTGCAGTGAGCCTATATCAGTGTGTATCAGTGCAGTGAGCCTATATCAGTGCAGTGAGTCTGTGTGAGAGTCTGTCCCCGTTCTGTCCCTCTTACCTCTTTTGTTCCTCCTCCAGCGGTGCGGCTGAGTCTGACAGTTGCTGTAGTCCATACAGTTCAACACAATTAAAGCAAAGGAGAAGAGTCGAAACTGCATCTGGGCGGCTGTGTGTGCTGTCGACTCAGGTCAGAAGGGACAGTAAACGTGTCGGAGGAGTTTTCCTCTCCAGGCTCCGTATGCGTGGTTTGAAGGTGTAGATGTTTCCAGAAAGGAAAAGCGGAGCTCGGTGTGTCACTCATTAGCCGGGCAGCGCGGCGGACCATCAGCGAGGAAAGTCATTTTACAAAGCATGGATGAAGAGGATGAGGAGGAAAAAACACGCGGGAAAAGTGTCCCAGCAGTCTGTGGAGAGAGTTAAAGCGACGCGGTCGGTCTTAACCAGCTGAAGAAACTAAACTTTAGCGCGCTGTCCGGATTTATAACACCGTTCAGTCATAACACTGTAGTGAAGCGCAATCACCAGCGCTCAAAACGTCCAATTCAACACAGAGACGATCAGAGGAAGAAAGAGAAAGAGAAGAAGAAAGAAGAGGATAAGGAAGAGGAAGAGAAAAGAAGATCAGGAGGAAGAGGGTATACCTGGTGGGGAAAGTGGGGAAAACGTCCGATCCGTAACAGAACGCGAGATCAAGTTCCTTCAGAGTGCCACAGTGGGCTTGGAGCATACAGCATCCCTCCTGAAGGAAACTTTTCTGTCCTCTCCAGCTCCTCTAGATTCGCTTCACAGCTCCACAGGGTCTAAGGAAGTTACTCCGTGGACGCGAAAAGCTCACTGATGATGGTGATGATGATGGTGTCAGTAGACTTTTATCTCGAACACCTGAATCTGTGATCTCCTGTCTGTCTGGAAAGCCTCGGTGTGGATCTCTCTGCTCGTGCACAGGCTGCTGCTGCTGCTGCTGCTGGTCCTGATGCTTTCCCTGCTTTTACTATATAGCCCTGCTGCTGCTGTCACGTGGAGGCTCCCAGGATCTTGTTAGGCTTTTCAGAGTTTTGGAAGCCCCCCCTCCTCTACAGACCCGGCACTGCCAAAAGAGGGGCGTCGTTTCCCTTTTACAGATTTTAAAGATGATGCGTACAATTAAGACCAACCAGCTCTACAGAGATTTGAAAGGACTAATTCACCAGTAAATATGGTTTATACACTTTCTCCTCATCTCTTACATAATCAGCTTTTAACTGGAGTTACGAGTCTATATAACCCAAAATCTTTTTTTTGTGAGATAGACTTCTATTATATTAGCCCTGTAGCTCCAGTGCAACTAAAGAAGCAAACTTTACCTATTCAGGCATCAAACATGTCCGGGCTGATCTACTAATCATGTTTTGGATGAGGGTGAGCATTGTGTAAATATGAGTTTCATCAGAATCCTAGTGCAGATCTTCAGTTACGGTAACCATATCTGATAATCAACGTGACAGCTTCAGCGTGTTTCTGACTCATTAGCTCTTTCTACAATTAAAAGTACAAATGACGTGGAGCTTTAGACTTACCAGTGTTGAAGCACGTCCAGGTGTCAGTGAATAAACTATAATGTGACCCGTGAATGAAAGGTTTACTCAGAAACGCTTGGTTAAGCAATTGAAGTAAATTGTGGATTATTTGTGAGGTTTTTCAATGAAAACAGGTGCCACCGCCGCGTTATAACGCGTTAGAAGTAAAGCGCTCTTGTGAATGGTCGTGTATTATGGTGATTTTTTAATTGTAAGCATCTGTGCACCTTCATCTCCACAGCCGTCGCTGCTTTTCTCAACTTCTTTTTTTTCCCTTAAATTAAACCCAAATGTTTTACCCAGCTTGACCACTAGGTGTGGCACTTAATCTTTTATTTATTTGTCCCTTTTTTATGCTCCTCACTTTTGAGGATGTCTCCATTTCCACTGTGATGTACACACAATAACCGAGAAAGCCTCTAGGATGAGGTTTGGACAAACTCGCGCTGAAATACGCGAAGCCAGACCGGCTTCTGGTGAACCGCCATTAAGGCACATAGTACTTTTGACACACCATGAAAAAAACAGTCGATTTGATGGCTCTGCGGAGAGTCGCACAAACACACGCACAAAAAATCCCGTTCAGTTCAGTGAGTGTTCTCCAGCGTTTGTCCTTGTTTACAAAAGCTCAACCTGCACATCTCAAGAGCATTTATATATGTATCATCTTGTTTTCTTGGAGGTCTTTGATGTAGAGATGCGATTTGTCCCAGTTATTAAAGGGCACTAAATTGTCAATTTTGACAATTTAAAAGAACCAAAAAGTGGATTCCCCCAGTCCAGTAGTCTTTAAAATACATTTTAAAAAGCAGCTCAACTGAATGACAATAGGTAACACTGATTCACTTATGCTGAAGAGCCTTTAATCACAGATGTACCTTTCAGTAGGTGTGCAGTTGAAGTGTTGTTTGAAAGCCTCTTGCATCATTTGCTTAGTTTAATGCTTAGGTTGACGTGTGACGTAAAGCATTTCAGTCACCAACATGCTGTAAAGGACACAGTGCATCTACATCACAGTATGTTTATCTACATTTACTGTCAGCATACAAAACTTTCTATAACCCTTCCACTATCTTAGGCAAAGAAACTTATAACAGTAGTGGAAGCCTTTTTGGTGATATATAGAACCCCCTTTTTAAAGAACCAGTTTTATTTTCATTTGTAAAACAGGCAGAATTTTTATATTTTCACCTAGTGTATGAATGGTTTGCAATCAGCAGTTTTTTTTAAAGGTACTTTCAAGTCTTCCAAACTTTTTGCCTTTACAAAGTGCTCTGTGTAGGGGGAGAAACCTTTACGCATTACAGAAAAAGCATCTTGACCAAAACTGACTGAACAGAACAGCGCATCTATTCCGATTACGCAGGCTGTTTTGATCAAATGGTTTAACCTTTTCATGAGAAAGCATGTGATACCAAAAAGGAAAGATCATGTAGCCATTGTAACCAAAACCTATATTGACCTTTCGCCTGGTTGTTTATTTATTTATTTGGAGTGACAGATGTTGTGGTGGACAAGCTTGTCAGCCGCACGTCTGCTGTTGGTCTGGATGTCTTGCTAAAACATCTGAGACAGCACTCTTAAGGTGGATGTGATAATTAAGGGCTAGAAGCGTTTTTATTTTCACGATGTGTCATGGCAAAGGACCGGTAAACCAATCACTTTAGCCACCACCCCCCCCACTCCGGCCGTGGCTGCCCGCCCACCCGCCGGCTGGCTCACTCGCTTGTTTGCTCACTCGCTGGGAAAGTAAAGGTGACGTCAACGTTTTAGCCGTCTGGCTGGGAGCCTGAACACTATGGCAGCCGTAAGCCCCCTCTTCACTCGTCCAGCGAGACAGCGCTCATAAATGTGTCAGCTGATAGAGAGGCCAAAACAGACAGAGACATGGATCAAGTCTTAGCCACCACATTGTGTGTGTGTGTTTGTGTGAAAGAGAGTGACGGAGGGAGAGAGCGAGAGACAGAGAGAGAGAGGGCAAACATAGAAAGAACGCAGCTGTTGTGATACAGAGATGATGAGATGAGAAGGGATGGGGGGAGGTAAAGGTGGAGGGGCATTAAGCTGATTGTGTTGTTGGCTAATGGAGGCTTATGAGTCCCCCAGCGTCGCTGCGTGCAGACAGAAGGCATGACTGGCATTGCATATGGCAATGAGCGAGTTGACATCACCTCTCCATGCCCTCTTCCCTGACTTCCCTCCAGCGTACGAGTGGGTCTGCCGCAGCGGAGTGGTGGGCTGCTACGGTGCAGAGCCGTAAAAATGCGGCAGACTAAACATTCATTCATCATCACGGCGCATACATGCATCGCTTCGCGAAAACGCAGGCCCCTATCCCATCCCACTCAATGACTCAGTGCACACATTAAAACTTCATCTATTACACAAAGGAGAGCAACCACTTAAGCCTCAACCACCATTTGTAATGTCCAGAAATAAAAAAGCAAGCACGGGGTGAAAAGGGTTCTGTAATGGTGTTTTTTTTTATTGAATACCAGATGTACTGAATCCAGCGTTAAAATAAGGCTTCACTCTCACTCCTCTGAAGGTCACGATTGGAGAAACAGCATGTTCATTGGCAAAAGGGGAATGCTGGAGAGGAACAGGATGAACATGGCAGAATACCGTCCACAGCGCTGCTCAATAAAAGCCTGTGTCCTGAGCAGCCCAGTTAGGAGTCTGGAGAAAGAGAGGAGAGAGGTGCAGTGCTTTAATTACCCAGTTCACACATAGTTCAAGTGGTTTGTTCATGGTTGGTTGTAAAGCTGTTTGTGTCTTTGGCTGATCACTGTATACATCGACAGAAAAAAGGTACTGAAGTTCCTTACGAAAAAGGGCCATATCCTATATATTTCCACTTGTATTTGTCATAATTCATCTCGCATGAACTTTTTACAAACTATCTGTCTCTTTGAATCAAACAGGCTGTTTCGTTAGTGTGCCTTTAAGCCTGACATATGCAAATGAGCTCATTGCTGACTGACTGCCCTGTACTGTGCCTCAAACAAAAGACGGGTCTTCAGAGTGAGTGACTGGAGATAAACTGATGTAGGTGGATATATACAAATTGGTTTCAGTAACATGACAGTAACAGTTATTACAAAAAGAGCTGTTTTTGCAGCTTAGTTTCCATTTCCAGGCTGTATGGACTGGGCAGTAAAGGATGCATTTCGAAACTTGCAATGTTTACACACTACATCCAACTCAACTTTTTAAGTAACATGAGGAAAATCTGTTTTTCCATGATATGGGTCCTTTCACAGGCAGAAAGAATGCCAGGAAGCAGGTATTTAATGTCACGCTGTTAGAGAATCCTTTCAGAGTTTTTTATGGGAATCCCAAATGTTTAGCTGTACATGTTTTTTGCAGAAACTGACTTTTGACACAAGACATTAAAAGAACATACTATTAAAGTGCTGCAAAAGAGATGTTACTTACTCACAACATAATTCAATGTCTGTGGCCCTTGAGACATGTTGGATGATAGCTTATAAATGTCTTATTTTCTTACATACTCTATTTTAAAAGGGAGTATGCTTTCCAGAGTTCATGAAGCGGAGCCTCTGGGAAGGGACTGGGAAAGCACATGCGTTTTGGGTCTTGGTGGGCCAATCAACATACCCAACACACACTCGTACCCAAGCACGCATACACACAAAGATCAAACAGTGAGTGACTGGACCCCAAGCAAAACATCTGTGGTGATTCCTAAGTGTAGGGAACTCCAGGTCCGAGTTAAGTTCACAGAAACTGATGTTTGCGAGCGTGTGCATTATTTACTCTGAGCTGAGTCACTGGACCCAGGCCCTCTTCTTTACGGCTGTGCTGCCATCTACCTTGTCATTAGTGCTTTGAAGAGGAATGGCATGATGAAAGCACTCACTCTGTTAAACTTGCTCTTACTGGTTGATACCGTGTAAAGATAGCTCTGGGCTGATGGCTGTTCAACATTCTTTAGGCTCTGTTCTCTGGACAGATCGCTCGCGTGTGTAAACTACAGGGCTCAAGTTAAACAGCAAGAGATGAGATCAGATAAAAGCTGGATGGAGGGTGTGTGTGTGGGAAAGACAGAGATGCTCTGACCTCATTCCTGTTGCTGTGGCTCTTCTTCTCAATGTTCATGGCCAGCATTTGGCTGCGGAAAGACAAGCTCTTGGTCTTCTCGATCACTTGCTGATAAGGCGACACGGCGTTGTTGCCCATCACCACATGACCCTGCCAAAAGTAGAATACTAGCTCAGTACTTCACAAACAGAAAACACAGATCCTTTTCAGTTCCCCCAGACACACCTTTATGACTAGCCTCCATCTTGCCACAGCCTCTCTGAGCTCCAAACACTGGGTCTAATTCTAGGCCATGCCATTATAAGGCTGTGTGATTTGGGAGATTACAGAGGGGCCTGCTCCTTGGTGGGTTTGTTATGACATTGAGTGCTGAAGAAAGAATGTAATAATACCGTTTTCCAGCCTCAGTGGAGGAGTATGTCTGGGGTGGGACCTTTCATTGAGGCATAGGACCAAAATTATCACTTGATTGATTATGTCAGTGCTATATAAAAGCTGTAGACAAATTACACAAAAATGGGAACTTGACTATCAGTATATAAGTTTGAAAGAGAATTAGTAAGACTAGAGAGGACAGAGAAACACTGAGCTGGGCAGTAGGACACTCAAGAGAACATGATACAGAGTAAACAAATATGAGCAGAGCGGCTGTTCTCTTACCAGCTTGGAGTCGATTTTAGCATCCAGCCTGGCATTGCGAATGAGGTTGACGATCCATCTTTCTGCCTCCTCAGGAGTCATATTCAGCTTGTCCGCCAGCATGCTGCAGACAAACAGAGGGCCATCAGGACAAATGAGGGCTGGGGGGGCAGACTACATACAACTCTACAACAAATGCTGCATAACTACAGTACTGTGCCGAAAGTCAAAGACCACTCTTTATTTATTTAATTTCCAGTAAACATGGCCATTAAGAACAAGTTATTCATTTTTCAGGAAATATTTCTGAAGATATTAGATACAAGATAATCCACTTGTATAAGAAAGGAGGAAGTCAAAGGAAAGCAGGAAAAAATTAGGAGTTTCCAAAACTGCAGTTCACCATCAGACAAACAGTACTTAAAGCTTTCATCTTTGAGAGAACTAAGCTCTACTCCTGCTTCAAATCTGAAAAAAAATCCACAGGTGTTTCTGCTCATTCTTCCACTGCCACTGTGAAAAGACAACTGAATGCTTTGGATCTGAAAAGATGTGTAGCTGTCAAAAAGCTGTTACTGAGAAAAGAAAACAGATCAAAAGATGAAAATTTGCAACTGAAACAAAGAAGCTGGTGTTCTCAAAACAATAGACTAACCACCCCAGAGTCCAGACTTCAACATCATTGAATGTGTTCTTTTATCAATTGGATTACTTGGATAGTGAAAGGCAGAAAATGCAAAGAACATCTAAGACTGAACTTTGGAGGAGTTTAATAAGCAAGACATATTCCTGTAGATTATGGTAAAAACTGAAACAAGTCTCCTGAAAAGAATTGAAGCTGTGGTGTACACGATGAAAAATTTGACAATAAATTTAGTTGCTGTATTTAGTGCTGAGAGTTCTGTGTAATTTTCCTTTATGAGAAAATACGTTTGTCTTTTTTCCTGGTGCTAAAAAAATGAATAACGTATTTAATAGCCGCTTTGACTATGAATCAAATAAATAAAGGGTGGTCTCTGATTTTTGCACAGTTCTGCATGTCTTCTAAATACACTTACACATAAATGCAGGCAAGAGCATTATATAGACCTGATCTAATCTTAAGTGCTGAAGGACAGTGAATTTGCTGTCAAACCCCAGCATTTGAAGCAGTATTCCAGAGTGACAAATGCCTTTCATTATGTAAGCAAGGCTATAATGATCATTCACACCAGGACTAAGAAGCCCATAAAAAAGGAATACAATTACATCATTGTGAGGAGATGGAGTAAGGTCGAGGTAATGATGACAGACAAATGAAAACGTCCTTCCAGAAGTGGGGACGAGATGAAGTGAGTTGAGAGAATAAGTCCATTAGAGATGGGTTGCTACACTGGCCCTTGATTCATCAGGTCCTCTTTAAGGTACTGACCACTCGCTCACTTCTCTGGTATGTCGGGTAGGGGCCTGCAACAGTCCCTAAATAAAAGGCTTAGGTTCAGCTCAAAGCCTTTGAGGCCAGAACACAGATATATCACCAAAGAAAAGAAGGGAGAGGGTCTGTTGTTCTTTAATCAATAGACTTTTTACTGCTTCTGGCCACCCACTGTAGCTTTTTCAGAAGTTCAGATCCCTTCTGCCCTTGCCTTAGCCATCTACTACAAACTTTGTCTTTCCTACTACAAGAAACAGATTCTATATTCTCACACTTCCAACAAACACAATGCTAATATTTTTGTTTTTTTTTAAGCTTTCCATTAAAACTGCCACACCAGACTTTATATTTTATATTTACCAAGCATTACTTTATCTTTGGACTGTTTAATGAACCCATCATTCATAAAAAATAAATTCACAGCAAGTAACCTTACAATAAAATGATCTACCAAAAACCTCTCATAACATCAAACGTATAAATATGTAAGAACTACACATATGCAAACCTTACTTAGATACTTACTTAGTATAAAGATACCATTTAGCATTGACTGAGCCTAGCAAAACTGACAGCTGATATCCTTTACTCCTGCTTCAATTTTCCTGTAGAAAATGACACATGACAAGGTAGACTGCCCATAGAGCTCATTATTTAAGATCTAACCACCACCAAAAGTGCCAGTTGTCAAATCACAAGGGCTAAGGTTGTGATGGTTAACACATGTCTGAAATCAAGCAAGGACCCTACTGATATTGGAGACAGGAATGCTTGTCGACTCCAGAGGTTGGAGAGGAAACAAGAAAGCCATGCTCTCGTACAGCTATGAAAAACATGGCAAAGCACGTTGTGGACTGATTACCAATTACAACCAAAAAGGCACAGGAAACCAATTAGAACAATGGGTCATTCAGAACATCTCTCACTAGTGCTGTACTTCTATTAAAAGGAAGCAGAGCTAAGCTCTGGACCTTCTCAGATGAATAATGGTTAGCATCAAAGGTGTACTCAAATTAACTTCAGAGATTGCTGATTATGGCAGAAAGAAGCAAACTCTTCTGTCAGCTATTTGATCAGTGAAGTCACAATCATAGATTGAATCAAAATAAACACTCCTGTGTTTCTCCTGAAGGGAACTGACCCAACAACCCTCATACACGCTCAACCCAGTGATCCAGGTCAAGCTCCGCTTCTACCTACCACAAGAGCCTGCGTACACTAATTTAAAGCAGGGGAACAAACCAAAACAGCGTTATAAGGCCTGATTCTGCTTAATAGTATTATACATATTTCTAGTGCATATTGCAAAAACAGATGAGGTAGAAAGTTATTTGAAAAACAGGAAGTAAGGAGAAGACGGACCCTTCAACGCTTACTGCCCAAACTAGCTGGTAAGGCCCAGCTGCTTTCTTCTGCAGAAGTCTCATTTTACGCAGCTCCAAGCCCTCAGGGGAGGGGTGGGTGGTGGGGATCATTTTCACTTCGACCCCTTACATGCACTGGCTCCTCACCGTTGATTTATCCAATTCTGTTCGTAATCTGGTGGGACTGGGGCGACCGGTTTCACTCCAGGAGCCTCACACTTAGCTGGGAGGTCAGGCATGAAAGCTGGGACAAACTGGGTCCAGGGAGAGCAGTGTACTCCACAGAAGTGCCCCCTTTTTACCATAGTGGGATTTAACAAATTCATTGTTAAACACTTCCATATGAAGGCATTAAGAGATTCCAGGCCATTTGGAGAGACCCCCGAGAGCTTAGGGCAAAATTGATTTTTCCTTCTTTTTTCGATAAAACCAAAATGACTGTGTGGTTGTTTTAATGACTCAGTTGTAATGCAGAAAGATCCTCTTTTTACATTGAAATGCTGGGTTTTCAAACTATTAGTGTTTTTTTTAAAGCAAGAAGCTGACAAGATTGTAGAGATAATGCAACAAAATTCCCAGCCAATTCCCATAACCAGAATATTTGTTTGGGAAGATGCTACTCCACACCAATGATCACACTGCCAAGAAAAAGCCCTTATGTCCACTAATTTTATTAGTTTGAAATGGGGTACAGAGCAAATGTGGATGGGGGGGAAAAAAAAAAACAACAACTAGCCTATCGAATTTAAACTGTGGAGATTTCATAACTCAACAGAAAGATATGTGGCTGCAATTGTTTTTAACTCTAATAATGGTATCACATCTACCTGGCCTGTTTGCATAATTTACTCAATTATATTTAGTTCTATTCTGTTCTTCTACTAGCATCTGCTGAGGGTGGAAACATGCTAAATGCCTGATAAATGGTCATGGCCATCAGCTGTAAAAATGTCCTCATTATAACACAAGCCTCTGATTGATGTGAATCCATGCTTGGGAGAAGAGAGCTTCTGGGTAATACTCTAATAGCAACACAGTCGTAAAGCAAAAATAGAAAATCTCCTATTCTCCATTCTTCCAAGTCAAGGCACACAAAAACCCTGACATGACTCCCAGTACATAAACAGTGTGGATAATAAATGATAAACAGTTGCACTTCCTACTTCTAGCTGAGCTTTACCACCAACCTTTGCGGTCTTTAAAAGATAAATGGATCCTCCTGGAACAAAGCTGCCAAAAAGAGTCAGGACTCCTAATCAACTCCAGACTATCAGCAACTTAAGGTTTGAACAATGTCTGATTGCTTCAACTCAACTAAAAACTGCACTCAAGCTTATACAACCTCCACAAAATATAGTGGGCATTAAGGTTGTCCTAAGTGATATGAAATAATGTACTAAAATCAGTTTAATCATTAACTGATTTATGATGCAAGATGCCATATATAACCATTTTCTTTACCGAAGATCCTTTGAAGGACGATTTTTAGAGTGTATATTTCACCCCCAAAGGTTCTTTCTAAGCCTACAATTATCAGTTTAAGTTTGTTCATTTATCACAAATGTGTATATTGCAGGTGACAGCAATATGCACATGCACACATGTATGTGGCTCCTGCTGGATTTTAGAGGATGTCATAAATCCCCCGAGGTAGATTCAACCTGTTAGCCACAGCCACTGTCAAGTATTTCCTGCTCCATACATGGAGGGAAAAAAAATGCTGGACAGATGCTCAGAGACTACTAGTTATGCAAAGCTCATTAAACAGTCAGGAGTGCAGCGCTGCCTCCCTGTTCTGTACTCCGTCACTAGAGCACTAATAAGAACCAGGCTTAGGGAAACCAATGACACCCGCCCAAACCTCCCTCTCATTCCAACGGCCTCTTTTCCACCAATGGAAAAACCTAGGGATTCAAACCATCACGTGTCTTCTCTGGAAACCTACAATGCTCTGTATATACCATAAAAAGGGCAATAAAATAGAGTAACTAGAGTAAAGTGGCAATAAAACACCTGCCACACTCAACTAAATGCAGGATGGGTGGTTTGTGAACAGTCTACAAAACATATGTCAATGAGAAGCATGAAAAGCAATCACCTTCCAGTTTGGAGTTTGATCTATTTACTGATGAATTAAACATTTCACCTCGATTACGATTAATGAATAATTTTTTTGTTTTGTTTTTTTCCCTAAACTGTTAAAGCTGGGACATTTTTTTTCTAATGGTAGAGTGCATATCTTGGTGATCTTAAAATAAGTGAAAGAAAAGGCACAGATAAACTACATTCTTAAAAAAGATGGTGCTTCAAGGGTTTTTTGGTAAAGAAAATGGTTCTATATAGAACCATGAACACTCAAATAACCCTTTGCATGATTAAAGGGTTCTTTGCATCATGAAAGGGTTCTTTGGATTGATGGAACATGTGCACGAATGTGCTATACACGGTTCTACATAGAACCTTTTTGAAAAGGGTTCTCTATAGCACCCAAAAGGGTTCTTATATTGTTACAAGCTTAACGCTATAACAATAGAAGAACCCTTTTGGGTGTTATATAGAGCCCTTTTCAAAAAGGTTCTATATAGAACCGTGTATCATTCTCCATCAATCTGAAGAACCCCTTCATGCTGCAAAGAACACCTTTAATCATTCAAAGGGTTCTTTGAGTGTTCACAGCTCTGTATAGAACCATTTTCTTTAGAACCTTTGAAGCACCATTTTTTAAGAGTGTATTTATGCTTATTTATTCACTTCAAACAATTGAAATCAAAACACACATCGCTTGAAATGAAAACGTCTTATGAAAAAGGTCAAATTTTAGTTTTAATGTAAAAAGCAATAAATAAGCAGCCGTCATGGGCAAGATTATGTCGGTTAGAGGTTCTGAATGTTGTTGTTTTTTTTTGTTTTTTTTTAATTAATAAATTGCCCAGTCCTACTTCACCCTGTATACAAATATTTTAACATTGTCAGTGCTCAGCTCTAAGCAGCAGGTTTATGAGAATGTGATGAGAGAGTGAGAGCGAGAAAGAGAGAGAGCTACTGAAGTATCCACTAAATGGAGAGGTCTTGGTGTTTTGCAAAGCCTCCTAAAGCTTTAGAACTGCTTCAAAACAGATGAGTAGATGTGTCTGCGATGCCTGGTTCTGCGTGTGTGTGAGCGTGTGAGGTTTAGGTGCTGGCAGCCGGTCTCTGGACATACTTCCTCCAGTGCGCTGGGTAATAAAAAGGGATGCAAGTGGAGTGGGAGCATTGAGGAAGCAGGAAGCAATCCCACATTGTGGACACATTTGGAGACCTGCTACTTTTTTTCTCTACACTACAAGCTGTATATAATTACTTCAGAAAATATTCTTATAACACTAAACGTTGTTGATCTAAACTTCGGCCAGACTAAGACCAACAGACTAGTCGTAATCTATGTCCTAAAAATCTGACATTTATATGCTACTACGCACAGCCAGAGTTGAGAGCTGGAGGCAGGGGTCCTCACTGTCTATAGCTTGGTGCCCCTAGCTACAGCATTTTACATTTAAGCAACTAAAAATGCAGAGCCTGTGTGCACATTCACAAATGTCCACCATTATTAACAAAACTACTACTTTTCACCCTTCCGTGCAAGACCCAGAGTCTGTTTGATCAGAAACAGGACTAACAGCAATTAAATCAGATTTTAGCAGAATTCGGCATGTTTGTTAATTTAATATAAAACAACTCTAAAATAAACATGTTTCTATAATTCTGGCCACAGATTCCTAATTCTGGCCTTAAGACCTATTGGCCTAATTGCCCAGTGCAAATTTATATTAAGTTAATATTAAGTTTATATTTGGTTGGAAGGATCACACCTCATGTCGTCAAACCGTGAACCACTGTCGGTCTAGGTCAAACCATGAATTGCATGTACAATTTCTTACCTTATGCTGATACACTGGTGAATTCTGCAGAACGTCTCAAAGATGAACAGGCGAGCATTTTCAATGAAGTCCTCAAGACATGCCACCAAGAAGAAATCATTCACCAGCACCTTCAGGAGATTAAAATATTTGGATTAAATATGCTGTTAAATGTTTAAGAAGTGAGAGAAAAACAGCTCTTTCCAAGCCTTCTGTGGGGCAGAGGAATGCTTACAGTTAAATGAGGACAAAGAGCAGAGCGGGCAGTTTATAGAAACTCATTACAGAAATCAAAACCGTTCCTTTTGTCCTGGGACACTGTAACAGCAACAGGTTGAAAAGTGGGAAAACCCAAATTGCCAGAACGTGTGCCAGGTTAAGGTAGAATTAAAACATAAAGAATGAAAATGAGTATTATGAAACAAAATTAGAGATAGGGGGGGCTGCTTTTAACACGTCCACATTAAACTTCAACACTCCTAAGCAGTTTACTTTGGCAACTGTCATAAAAGAGAAAACCCCTATTTGGAAGGTTGGGGGGGATGATTTGGGGCCATTCTCAGCACTCCAAATCAACCACAAATCTTGGAATTCCACAGTAGCCACATAAAACGAAGTAGGAACAGAGCCAGCCACCCAATCCACCGCAGTGGCTTTGACTTATCGCCGCTCATCTTGCCCACTGCCGCAGGGTCCATCAAGTTGCACAGTGGAACCAATTTACACTGCCACTGCGTTCACACAGAGCTTCTCCCGTCTAATAACAGCCCCAGACGCAGATGGCAGCTGGGCTCTGATCAACATACACTCGTAGTTGTCCCCTCCACGCTCCTGCATCAGCCTTACTCTCTTATTTTATGACTGAGTGATATTTTGTGTTCAGTGGAACTCCTCTTGAATGGAGCAGTCAGACACTGGAGTGCAGTGCATTCCACAGTAGTAAAGACATGTGAACTCCTGCTGTCACTGCATCGTTCATGTGCAGTCCTTGTCCTCCATCTTCAGCACGTCTGTTCACTCATAGGCCCTGCTCTGTTTGCTTAGGCTCTATTTGCTACTATCTCGGCTGTTCTGCTTGAAGAAATCCCAACTACATGACCCTATCAGCAAGCGCACATTTTACCAATGACAACGCTTATCTTAACCTGAAAACAAAAACCCCACTTTACTTAACTGCCATAATTACTGTCATCTGTGTTTTTCAAGAAAGAAGGCTCTCAAACGGTTTTCACAAGGGCACAAAATGTCCTTTTAAGTTCACCCTTGAGGGATCTGAAACTCAACTTTTCCTTAAAACCTTGTAAGATTAAAAACGCTCCTATATAAGGCAGTGTCTGTTCTGAGAAGCCTAACGCACTAGACCTGGCAATGCAAGTTTGCATGTGTGTTCAGCATGATCAAACACTGAACACAGTATGCTAGCTTTGAGTACAACAAGAATGGCTCTGGGCTGTTTGACATATTCTCTGTCTTTTCTTAACCAATTTTGCAAAGCATTGTCCATTCAGTGCTTCTGTGCTACTGAGCTTAAAATAAGTTTGAAAACTACTTCATCCAAGAAAAAAAAAAGAACAGCCTAACTTAACAATGAAATGAGACCCTCACTAAACCGGTGACATGATTTATAAACATTTACTTCTGTGAGGGAGCCCATTCGATCAGGCCAGATGTTTTTCATTCCGAACGTTTATCGTCAAGAATCAGGGAAGAAAATGAGACTCAAATCCCCCACATTTGAGCCTTTTATGTCTATGCAGGTCCAAATGATCAAATCATTAGGGAAATCTCCATTACACTCTGCATGCTAAGAGGACAGGCCTTTTGAGAGCAGAGGTAATTAGCACACCTGCCTGATCTCCGAGTAGGAGAGCCCTCTGGCTACTGGACCTCTAGAGCCAGTCTTTCTTTCTTCCCTACAGTGAAGAGTCAGGCCAGGCACTGTGTGAACAGCCACTAATTAGTTGAGACTCTGATTAAGTGTGCTCTAGGCATCACTTAGATCACAAGATATGAAAAACAGGAAAAAAAAAAATAGGTCTGCATGTAAGCATAATTGATTTTTCAATGAGCAGGCAAAGGTCAGTAAAACAGCTTGAATGCTTGAGCGAAGTTTATCAGGCCACTGCACTAGGGCTGTACTTAGATATAACTTCCTGAATGATACTTTTTCCCGACAAATTCTTTGGGAAGCGGCGTGAACTAGAAATAAGGGTGAGGTGCTGAAAGAGGGTATATGTACTAGGCGTGTGCATGAGTACTTATATGGATATACGGATATTGAAATCTCTATTGTTGTATTTTTTGCATTTCAACACAAAGATAGAGACATTATACAGGCTAACACTTCAAGGAGTTGTCAATTATGTGCAGCGTGACTGTCAGGAGTGAAGATCCAAAAAAACACATGACAGAAAATAACAAAAGCTCAGCATGGTGAGAAGCCACAGTAAAACTGTAGTCAAACGTTAACAACAGTATGGTGTCTGCTTTTCAGCAAACTCTGTACTGATTTAACAAAAACACTGGCTGAGGAGATGAGCTGAGTTTTCGTCTAAACCATGTGTCAGACTCTAGTCCTTGCGGGCCAAAACTCTGCAGATTTCAGCACACAGCCTCAATAAAACACACCTGAATCGGCTCATCAGCTAATTAGCAAGGCCTTCATGAACTGAATTCATAGCGTTAAATAAGGGTAAACGCTAATCACTGCAGCACACTGGCCCAGAAGGTCACCAGTTTGACATGCCTAAACTAAAACGTCTAGCTAAATTATTCACTGCTAGTTTGTTAATGCATACAGACTTGCTTGTCTATCCACGTGGATACGTAAATACTGTGTTTTTGGTCACTGAAAATCAAGGTTTCTGAAAACGTTCTCCAGAATGGAGATTTTAAAAGTTTTTTTTCATGTGGATGGGGGGGGGAGAACTAATTTGAATAGCAATACAAAGTTCTTGTACAATCAAACTACTTCCATAATAGTGCTTGGACTGCCATATAAAATGTGTTTGCGTTGCTACTGGCTGAACTTAACTGAAGCCATTATGACCAAAATAATCAATCATGAATATCCCTGCTAGCTGCAGCCCTATGATACTTTTATACTACGAAACACGTCTGATGAACATGAGCATCCAACGCTGTGCTAGGGTTAGTGTTAGCTCATTAGCTCCTCTAAAGAGGCAGCCACCATTACTCATCAGACATGAAAACCTCTAAGATTTCCCATGAATATTTTTGAATAATAAAACAAGTTTTCAAACTTTAACCTCCAGTGACTCAAAGCGTAAGGCTATGGCCCTACACTAATTTTAGCCGAGGTTCGTATTTGTTTTCTTTTTGTTGTTTCTTTTTTCTTCCCTCTAGTTAACCGGATATCTGATCATTCTTACACATATTTGAACATAAAAATGAACTGAAACGTGCATTTGTAATGTTTACAAAGACTGAAATGTACTACAGACTAATCAAGCACTGATGTTAATAACATGCATACAGATTGTAATTTCAACAGCCAGTCACCAGTCTAGATTTCAAACAAGCATTGCTTATTTGCTAAAAGACGCCGGTAAGACTGACTACTTCAGCATTGAAATTTGGTACAGAATAATAATTATAATAATAATAATAAATGACATTTGTATAGCGCTTTTCTAGGACCCAAAGACGCTTGAATGACATGGAAGTCTTTGATACTCAATAGTATTGAAGTAATTTGATCAGTATCACTGTAAGCCTACAAACCTACTGTGTTTACTTCACCCAGGATTCAGTCACACAAAGATGACTTCACAATGCTATTTTAGTTTTGGCCATAAATATTGTGTAACACATTTTTAAAACAAATTTATGTCCAAAAGTAATGTTTTCCAGGTTTAGGGCAGAAATGTTAACATGCCAGGTTTGTTCATGACCCTGGAATACACTAGCCAAAAGCCATTACTTAGAATCAATGTTCCATGCACACTAACTATGATAAACCAAAATATGAGGGGGAAAATATCATCTCTTACCAAATTTCACTGGAAAGAGTTGAAGTGTCTTGCGATATATAGTGAAATGCTGTACAAATGTTGCACAATATGCACACCATAAATTACTGCTCTTTTTTCAAGCATTATTGCGCTGGAAGTCAGAGTCAGTGCTTTGACAGTAAACACACTAGTGTATGACACAGCAAATCAGGGTGAAATCTAATGCACAGACCATCACACAAGGCCATTACAAACCAGAGTAAAAAAATAGATGCCTGGCCTGTCTGAACCACAGTAGGCTCTTTCCAGTGCGTGGGCCCACCTCAACAACCCAGAAGTGCTTCTTGTTAACCATACGGCTGATGGACGATTACTGGGCATCATAAAAACATGACAGACGGTGAGTCAGAGGCTTTTCCGAGAGGCATTCTCTCTCACCAGCCCATGACACGGACGCCCACAGAAAGCGGCCAAGGTTTCAAGACCCCTTTCAAGGCCCGAGACAAAAGTGAAGGCCATCTGTGGGCAAGTGTGGCTCATGACACAGCATCACTAATGATGCTCACCACCACTTGGGAAAGTTCAGAGACTCCTCAGACCAATGGCAGGTCTGGGTCGCGTGTGGTTTCATTACAACTCCTCATTAGGGAAATTGAGGAGTCATGGAGGTAAATTGAAAAGTTGCAGGCTTTCTGTGGTCAGAAATGTCAGGCTAGATGAGCTTAACTGTGTAACAACAGCAGCACTTCTCCAAGTGTATTCTGTTAAAGTTATAGAACATAGTGTTCTATAGTGTCAAGGTATAATGAATCTGTTATCTCAGCCAGGCTTTTGTAAAATTATGATGCCTTTGTAAATGTTTTTTTTAACAATTCAATAAATAAATAAAAAGCCAATAACAACAAAATACTAAAGGGGCAGATAAAACTTACCGACTCACACTCTCTAAGCTTCTTCTGAGCACCATCGAAGTCAAAGTTCACATACAGGCACTCGACAAATTCCGTGATGGGGTCTTTGTAGGTGTAAGACTCCTTACAAGGATATAAAAAAAACAGGTTATTGCATTTCCCTTTTAACAATAAGAAAATAACAATGTTGTTTTATTATTAAAGATCTGACCATGTTTATTCATAACCATCAGTCTTTAGAGTGACATTCCTTTCTTCCAAATCTATAATCATTCGTAAGATGAAAGGTTCAGACCAGTGTCTTTAGCAGATGAGCCACACTGGGATACGTGATACAGGTTTTGGGTCTTCTCTAGGATATAAATACCATGGATGCCTGACAAACCATGAGTGCAGAGAGCAGTGTGAGGAGGCCGCATTGAGCCACATGTTTAAGTGATTACACAGGGGCTGCGGAGATGGCTTTTATTTAGATTTCAGTGCCATTGATCTCTGAAGAAGCTACTGTTGTTGGATGATGAGACACTGAAACACTACAATCAGACCGTCCAGCTCCATTCATCAAACCTAATGGGTTCAAGACTCACAGGACTGGAGCAGGGACCCGGAAAGACTCTCAGCTCTCAGAAACACAGTGAGTGAAGTTCTATTTTCAACCAGCACGTGCTTATACACATCATCAGTCAGCGATTCCCCGCTGGAGAGTACTTAAGTGATGGTGGTTTTTTCAGATCAAACAAGAATGCATTACTACTCAAGAAAAAACCTTGAATTAAGAGCATCAGCAACCAGTGTCTTGTTTATCTGCTACAGGATGGACTGGATATAAATCATTTATTATAAAGGGGAACGCTGGCAATGATAACTGCAGCTTGGATCAGCAGTGCCTTCCTCAGTATTCTCAGAACTATTCCAGCAGGAGGGGGTCACTTGGGGATACGTGATCTAGACAATGATGCACAGTACTGTGCAAAAGTTGGAGACACTTAAGGAAATTAGAATTAAACAGCAATTTATTGAGACTAAGCTTATTTACTCAGAAAAACACTAATATTATAATGAATACACAAAACAAATACAGTAAGTAGTGATTTTACATATATCGTTGTGTTTGTTTAACCATTTGCAAACCTCTCCTCAAAGAAGCCAAGTATTACCTGTGGTTATCACCCAATGCCTGGTCAATCAGTATTTCATTATGTTAAATCAAGTGTGCTGCTGATGGGATATAACAAATCTGCGGGATGTTTGGAGGATCCGGGAGAAACCTTGGACAAAACTTTTTTTTCCTCCAAACTAGTCACTGACTGCTAATAAGAAATTCTTGTTACCTTTTTACTGTATTTACATTTATTTCGGTCTATTATAATGAAGTATGGTGTGCTTACAAGCAAAAACACACTAATTACCAAGATAAATGGTTTTAAATAACGTGCTTAGGTGCCTAAGACTTTTGCACAGTACTGTAGCTTACACTGAAATGTCCGAATAAATAAATACTACCAGTTATTATAGTATCTATATGTATTTGTGCTAGTAAGAAAGTCTCTCCAGTTTTTCTTTTTTCTTAATATAGGTTCTAACCATCTTGTACAGGAGCTAATCTAAGGAAGAAACGGTTTTACACAGTTTCCCCCTTACTCCAAATGGAGTCAATCACCAGAGCTACAAGCACATTTAGCGCTAAACTAACAAACATTTCAGACATGTCTTGGTTATCTGACTATGCCTGCAACAAGGAGCAAACTGTGTATTTTTTTTATGGTGAACAATTATTTTAACTTGGGTAAGCATCAGTTAATTAGCAAGAAGCCGTAACATAATACCTGCTGGATGACTTTGACCAGATCCTTCAGGACCTGTCGGCGCTTGCGCACATCCTTGTTAGTGATGACAGCTGTGGTCAGGTAGCGCAGAATATGAGGGCACATGGTCTGAATGGCATTGAGATACCTAAAAAATAAATAAAACACAGAGGAGGGTAAAACACTTGAGAGACAGCTGTCCTTTACAGTTAATGGGGGACAGGACACACAGGCAGGTAATGGTGAAAGCATCTCTGTTCACTGGGTCCCACTGCTGAAGGAAAGAGAAGGAAAACCCCTGTCTAGATACGGATCACTGGCCACAGGCCTGGCCAGTAGCTGAAATACTACCCACGAGGGGCTTGTTTTTCAGCCACAGGTCAACTAGCTGTAGGCTGAGCGCAAGACTGAGCGTTGAGTAGTGCTGCCATTACAATCCAAGACAAAGTTCTTTCTCTGCAGCCTGGGGATAGACTTCAGCTTTCTCTCATAAGAGAGTAAAAAAAACATGCATACAACAGATGCCTTGTCATAAGCCTGAGAGCTCCATTTAAGGTGCACTTAACATATCGAGTCAATTCAATGGACAGCCTCGGTGCCTGCAATCTGAACGAACATCTTTGACCCTCTCAGCCCCCTCCTCCTCCTACAAGGATCAAATTAAATTTCAAAGAGGAAGTTGAGTTGCTCTGCCTCAGCCAACCCCTGAAGCCCTCTTTTGGGTCAGAATGGAGAAACACATGTCGTTCTAAGGGAGGGGACGGCCAGCGGATGGTTTAATTAGTTGAAACAATTAAAGGGACAAGGGGCCCTGTGGCACTTCAGATGTCGGGGCTAAAAACAGCAGCGGGCTTCAGCAGTGTGTGATCCTGGCTAGCATAGCACGCTCTCTCTCTTCTCCCTTTGTTGTTGTCTGAGTCCGTGGCAAACCACAACACTTCATGCTGTGCTCCTGATTAACTTACACCTACTCTCTCTCCAGGGGGTGCTCCAATGGCCAGTCTGCTCACATGAGTCATGATGCCATATCTGGGACTCACACCCCCCCCAAAAAAAAAAAATAATTAATTAATTAAAATGACAAGATTATCTAACCAGCCCAGTGGCTGGTTCTGGTGTTGTGAAGCAGCTTAATAGGCTACAAAATACAATTTAGTAGCCTATACGATTTCATTGTTTCAGCCAAGTCCTGACCACTGAGAACATTCCTCAGGAAATCTTTTAAAACTCTAAAATTAGTCTGAGATTTAAACACAGAGGCAGAGAACAAGAGGCAGAGACAGACGCCCAGCCAGAGAGCAAACGGCTAAGCAGTTCCAATTTCATGATGCATGTGGGGGGGTTGGAATTAGAGGTAAATCAAGTGAAACACAGAATCCACTCTGCGATGGTCAGGATAGCATTACTTCAGGATTATCTTTCCTGTTTGCACCTACATCATAGGTCATCTTATGACAATATTTCGCTCCAACTGCCCTTGGATGGAATGTATAATCTGATAGCCAATCTTCTGTATCATTCCCCCCCTATGAAAACTTTCAGTTTTTGTTTGTCTCTCCACTACACACCATGACTATCATCAACATCATCTTAAGTTTGAAGACAGCTCTTCTGAACACTGGCCAGCTGAACTGAACGAGTTGACCTCAGCTTAAACATTAGTACAACTTAATAATAACAACCAAATGATTGGTTAAAAAAAAATACAAACAAAAATAAGATTTATCATTCAAGGTCAAAGCAATCTTTCAGGATAAATAATGCTCTTCTTCAAATTAAACAATCAATCAATCAATACGAACATAACTCTATTGTGGTAATTGATGATATGTAATGTATCCAAATGCAATAAATTGTGCATTAGGTCAGATTCATGGGATCTGGTCTAATCTTTCTTGGAGGCCACAGCTCTGAAAATAAAGCAAAAGGCAGAAAAGGCGAGAGAACTTACTGTTTAGAAAACAACTATAAAAAACGAGGCCAACATGGAAAGATCTTTGACTTGAAGAGACCAACCGCAAATTAGAAGTACCTATTTGAAGGAGTTTACTGTAGTATAATGAGTCCACGGGTATAATGAGCACCTAAGTCCAAAGGGCTGCTGTAAAGCCAGCTGAGTAACTGTCTCAGAGTCTTGGATTAGGACTGCAGTAAGCGGATAAGGTTTGGTGTAGCCTACGCTGTGGGCTCAGCCAGCGGGTCAAACATCCAGCCCAGGCTTACAGCCACAGGTCACTGGCCCTGGCCCGGGCCCAAAGGAAGCAAGCGGTCACCAGCAGCAGAAAAGGGCCAAGCCTCACCGAGGTTTCCAGCCTGCTCCAGCACAACAAACAACCTCAGTCTACCCTTATAGCCACTATGGCGAAGAACCTATTAGTAATTACTGGTCTGGCCTTCCTTAATCGTCTATGCTGGTAAGAATCAGAACGGGGGAAAAAGAAGATAAGACTAATCTTTGGTGTTGTGGTGGGATGCTGTGCTGGGATGTTGTGCTTTAGGTTAAGCACAGAATTCCAGCCAAGCACACAAAACTGCACTGGGGGAAAAATTGATTTAAGTCTTAAAACAGATGAACTCATTTAATGTAGAACTCATTTAATGTAGTAGGATTAAGTTTCCTAACTGCAATATAAATGACCTAAAGACAAAAAAAAAAACAAAACAGAGCACACATGTACTCACACTTCAGGGTCTCTCTGCTATCATGACAGCTTAAGGTATATAATAAAGAATGCAGTAAAAATGACTCGAGAACTCTTCTCTGTTAAGCTAGCATATTATTCTCTGTGTTCATCAGCAAAACCTGACAACTTGTTTTCACTTTGGCCCCTGGGGTCGTGTGTGTGTGTGTGTGTTTGCACTCGTCTGGGTTCACAGGGGGAGTCTGAAGCAGTGGTCTGAAACACCGGACTGGTGAGCGCAACATCAGCAGTTTCATCTGTGGACTGCGGTGGGCTTTCCAACCTGGACCGGTACATCATTCTACCTCATCCGGTTTTATTAGAACAAAACCAAAGCCAAATAAAATCCCAGACAAAAACGTGCAGCTGCTGAAGGTGCTTACTGCGGCTGGTACAGGAAAAGCTCAATGATGTTGTCTCGGCCCTTGGGGTGGTTGAAAAAGACGAAAAGAGACCAATGGATCAGCCATGTCCTCTGCTGAAGAGACTGGAGAGGGGAGCTCACCGTCTGAGGAGAAATGAGAGTGAGAGTGAGAGTGAGAGTGAGAGAGACAGAGAGAGAGAGAGAGAGAGAGAGGGACAGAGAGTTGAGAAATAAAGAGAGAAGTGATGAGAGTCCTTCGCAAGTTTGGGTTTGATGAGTTTCTTCAATTCACATCTTGAACTATTGAACTCCCTCAAGTTAATGGCTCAGCTTCAGCTGGCCATATAATTTCAGTCTAATCCAAGTCCAACAGAGATGTTTGAGTTCAGAAAATAAAAAAGGGTACTTTCTGCATGCCAAAACCCCTCACCACTTTCCCTGATCCATCTTTTCAATTAAAACTCTAATTCAATTAGCACAACTGCATAATTAAGTATCGGCTTCAGTTTCAACAAACAGAAAAGAAAAAAAAACTGGAAAAAAGGGTAAATAAAACAAAATAAAGAAGGGAGTGAGTGAGGGAGAGATAGAAACAGCAGCACCAGCAGTAGTGATGGTGCTTTGCTGAAACAAGAAGCGGTCAATATCACAGCCTATGTAAGGGAATCCAAGTGCAGTATTGAATTCTGAGTGGTGGGGCATTACATTGTTATCGATAGTCTCCCTCAGGCGGGTGAGGTCCTCCATGGCAGCCTCCCAGTTCTGCATCAGGATCTCAGAGGCCAGCTTGCCCCACAGGGAGTTCAGTGCGTTTCTATCCGTCGCAGGAACCTGCAAAAAACAGCATTATAAGGCTCAACAAAACAAGATGTCCATTTATTCTAGGTGAGCAGGCACTAATTAATCAGGGCCATGTGAGTAGATGTTGCAGCACCCCTGGAGTAAATGGGGTTACATTCCTAATTCAAGAGCAGAAGGCCAGCAGTCAGGAAAGGGCAGAAACATTTAAGTCTGTAGCTGTGGATCATGAAAAACGGTTTAGCTTTTTTAGAAAACCTCATTTGCTACACTCTGTGTACAGTTTAGAACAGTAGTTTACTGAAAATAAAATTCAAACAATGTTTTTAACTGGTTGCACAAATTGATTAAATTGATTAAATTAAAAGTCTTCCCTATTCAAAAGTTCTACAGATGAAATCCAACTGGCCTCACACTCAGTGGGGTTCACTCAAAACAGGCTCTCCTGCACAAGGTTAAACAGATAAGGTCTTAAAGAAAGGACCAACTCATCTGCAGCATAATAACATTTGTTAAACAAGTGCGCTCTAACTAAGCTTAGGGACAAACACTACCTATGTCAAAGGAAATATTCAGTTAGTCAGATTAAAAGATCACAAGGAAGTTCAGGGGGTTCACCAGAAGGGCACATCACCCTAAAGAAACATTTCTGAAAAGCACTAGACTACAAAGCATACAGCAAGAAACCGAGTATCGCATCGCTTTGAACCATTAAAAGTTGAGATAATGTTAAAACTACTGTTTTTGGGAAGCTGGGTCCTAATCTGTTTCCACAGTCTACAGTTTAAGCATCAAGGGAGCCCAGAAACGGACATCAAAACAATATAAATCAATGTCTATAACGGCCCACAAACACATTGCACGTTCAGATATCCCGAGTGCAGAGCCATACTTGGGGCTAAAGCTCCCCAAAGCATTGTGGCCTTGCACTGACCTCAGAGCAGTGACTTCACTGAGGCTTTTTAATGAAGTGTGCTGCTACTGCTAGTGCTGGCCTAAACACGTGCAAGACGCTTTGATCAGCTCTGTAACAGGGACAAGCAGGAACAGTGGGAGTCTAATCAAAGTAGCTGTTCCTAGAGAAGTGCAGACAGTCAGGGGTGCTGCTGTTCTGTCATGATTCACATTCAGCTGAAAAATTCATCAGGCGTGGATGGGTTCTAGGCAATTACAGGGTCAATCAGCAAGCGAGTCAGAAGCACTTCACTGGCCAAATCACAACTCATATATTCACTCATATGTTCTTTCCAACTGGGCCAAAGCTATTCTTCCCAGAGCCTTTAACTGCAACAACAAGAAGATCTGAAATTGTAATGTCTCGTTTACAGACTAGCCTTTGATGGCAAAGTTTTGATAAACATAAAATTCAATAGAAACAAAGACAATAAAAAGGATCACTGATCACTCTGATAATAGCCTAACCATTTAACACAAAGTAAAAACTTCCTGTTGAATTACATTATAAACCCCTTTACAGACATTTGCCCAAGCCACTGAAATATGACCTCTAGTTAACAAGGCTCATCTCTGTGGACACAATCAACTTCAAAAGAACGAAAGCTCCTGTTATTAATTATGTCAAAACAGGCAAAAATAAACAAAAGGTAGCAGATAATCAGCTGCAGGCATGCCGTGCTGCCAGGAGGCTGGGCACTGGGCTGCAGCCATGGGCTTCTGGAGAGGGGGGCGCAGTACAGGAAGCTATGATAACAATACACTTCAGGGAGACAATGACTCAAGCTGGAAGTCAAGGCAGGTGTCTTGTGCAGGTTCACAAAGACCTAAACTGCCTTCAGATATTAAGTCACCCCTACCTCCATCTCAACACAGCATGGCCAAATGAGCACCATCAACCCAGCAACAGCACACCAATAAACTAAGGTGCTAAGGTCTCAGCTTGAATGACCCAACATAATAAATAAACACTTACATTTTCAGGCCTATTAACAAGGGGAAACAGGAAGAAACTTACTAATGTGCAAACTGACTTATGGGGAGAGGAGGAAATTCCACAGATTATGTGCATTGTAGAGAAACACACCAAGTTAAACATCTAGACAGTCACAGGAAAAAATGGACAGGTCTAAATGACTTTCAAAGAGGAAAACTCATAAGACAGTGGGAGGGTGGGTTGGGGGTTGCTGTGTTGCCAATATAAAGGTCACTGTTTCATTACTAAAAGTGTTTGTTTTTTTCCCTTTTTTTTTCCTGGAAGTCCCTGCCTGCTACGTTTGGCGAAACTCCATGTCATTATGGCAGCCTTCTGCACACTGCCTGGCTTTCAGCGGTGGCCATGCAAGAATAGTTTCAATACCTGGGTTTTTCCAGCAGTTACCTTAAGTTTCCACTGCTTCCCCAAATGGGCACATTTTCACTGACTGACCAGCAACAATAAATTTACTGTGCTGGAGATCCAACGGGACACTCAATCTTTATTCTCAACATCCAATACCTGCATTAACAGATGATATGAATAAGTTGCTCTTTTCGCACTGGGCCTGCACTGTAACAAGACCTCAGGTCTGGATTTTGCAAGGCTGGCTTCCTCCGTTAAATGACTGTGTTTCCCACGTTAAATGAGTTCTGGAGCCTAACCTCTCCCATACTAGGGTCCGTCTGAGGAGATGGGAGGTCCAGTGCAAATGAGGGAGAAGGGGGGAAGAAATAGAGGCGTGAAGGAGGGGGAAGAATTAAGGCAGGTATTCAGTGAGAAAAAGTCAATGTGGTTAAATCCAGTTTTATATTGCTTTTCTTCCGTTCATTTTGTTCAACAACTGTAAATGAGGGTCAACGATATAAGGGTTTAAAGTCATGCTGCTGGGGGAAGAATGCTAAATCAGAGCTTTAAAGCAACTTGGGTTTATTTACACTAAGCTGCAGTGCCATAAACAATTCTGGCTGCTCTGTACAGGGGTCTCATCTAGTCAAAGTGTTTGATGTGTGTAAAATGGAACATTATGCCATTTTTCAGGCTCTCTAGAAATAACTAGTCCCTCTCATCATGTCTCCAACGTCTTTCTGAAAGGAGTAAATGAGAATGGCTTTGTAGCACCATTCCAAAAATCAGTCTAGAGAGAGAGAGAGAGAGAAAAAAAGGCTGACAGCATGTTTACAGAGGATGTCTGCACTCACAGACCATGCCAATCCACTTACAGCCGTGAGGTGAAACTAGCAGGCACAACGTGAGAGTTTCACGTGATGGAGAAGAGTATAAAATTTCCACCACAATAGGTATTTAAGAACATCGTTAAAATCACAGCATATTTGTTGCTTATTAAAATCGCCAACTGAAAGACTAGAATGAAAGACATGAGACATTGGGGAGGCATCACACCTCAAAAAGTGGTGGGGCAAAACATATTGTTGCCATAATAAATAAATAAATAAAAAAAACAATAAATAAATAAATAAAAAATGTAATAAAAAAGGAGGGCTAGCTAACTGACAAAATGCAATTAGGCCACTGACAAAAACTGCCTTTCATGTCATGCTAATGACATGTTTTTACAAACTTATTCAGAGGTGGGCAGTACCTAGTTACATTTACTTGACTACAGGTACTCAAGTGAATATTGCTAGCAAATCATAATAATTTTACATCTACTAAGGTATATTAATGATTAAAAAAAATCTGCCTTTTACTCAGTTACATTTTAGCCATTCATATTTAGTTACTAATAGAGATGAAACAATATTAAAATTTCATATCACGATTATCATGACCAAAATTATCACGATTATCGGTATTATCGTGATATTGTTCAAACGTGTTAAAGTAAAATAATAAAAAAAAAATAAATACTGATACACAAACTGAAACTCGTTTCACCAACTTTTATATTAACACAAATAGAATTGGCAGCAATATGCACTTTTTGTTTGCATAAACATTAAAAAATAAGGTCAATACATTTTTAGTATTACTTTTGTATTACTTACAATATTTGTAATACTCTGTAAACAAAAGAATAGCAAATGTATTATTATTACTGTTATTATTATTATTATTATTATTAAGTACAATAACTAGGAATTTCCCTGCATAGAAAATTAAATCTGGAGCAACTCTGAGGTGGGTCTTAATGGAAAATTACTACTTCTAAGAAGTGCTGCACTCGGGGGATTTCTGTCCGAACTGAAATTGCAGCATTATTGTGCTGTTGTGGCGCTGTACCCCTAATCAATACAGTGCACCAGAAAAAACAGCCAAAATCGCAGAGGAATTGCGTGACCGTGCTGCGAGCTGCAGACAGTGTAGAACTCACACAGCGTGTCTTCACCTGTGGAGCTGCTTCTCTAAAAGCATTTTAAAACTAAAACATAACTAAAAATTAACATGCATCTGAGCTGCGGCAGAAACACTCCTAAAGTTTAATCTCTGAAACTCTGCTTTTCCCAAAAGCAGCGCACAGCGTTTACTCACGCGAGGTCCCGTCTCAAAGCACACTATCTTCCCTATGTAGTGCACTTCGTTGATCATGAAATAGCAAATCCTTCACCCAAAGAGTGCAAGAAATGTTCACAATAACAATATATTAACAACAGGTTACAAATTCCCTATTTAAAACTCAACTGCTTGTTAATGATGATCGTGTTTGTTTGAACAGTAGCGCACTACGTAGGGGACACTGAGTGATTTGAGACGGTGTTATTCTCCTCTCAGACAGTAAACACCGCAAGCGAGGCGAGAAAGCGGAGCTGTGCAGATTGAACTTCTGCAGCGTCTCGTTCCAGAGCTTGTGTGTCTGTTAACTCAGAGCTCATTTTGGAGACTCTGCTCCACAGAAATGTGTCAAAAGCTTTAGTTTCGATTCACAGTTGATTCACCGATTGTTTTTTTGGTTTTTTTTGACGCTAAAAGCTTCATTTTATATTATTAACGAACCATAAGCATAAGTTAAACCACACAAACTGTGACATTTCTTCTATTTTGAAGTCCCCACAGACTTCTCCGTTAAAGTTAACCTTGCATTCTTGCAAGTAGCGAGTGGTGGTCGCGAAGATGACTCGTAAGGTTTGATGTGTTGCCCCCTTCCGCCGCTATTTTCTTTCGGCCTGTTCTGCAGACAGCGTGGTCATCTTCAATTAACTTTCCTTCTCTATCCTTATAAAACCCAAAATATGACCAAAAGTCAGACTTGGTCTTCTTAGAAGGTTGAAATATCTCCGAATCTCCGAGTTTTTCACACCACGGTAATCGACCGCAGTTTTAACGATACGTTAAAGTTCAAACGGTACCGGTAACCGTTTCATCTCTAGTTACTAATTCCTTTTTTTTTTTGTTTAATTTCATATGTTTTGATGGTGGCAATACTTCTACTGCTTTGTGATGGGTTACATCACTGACTTTTACACACTTCCTTGTGTAATTATTTTATGCAAGTATCAATACTTTTACTTTAGTATTGATATAGGCTTCTCCCACCTCTGAACCTGATCATGAACAGTGTGAGTGTTTGTTTTGATGCTGCTTCAGTAGGTGCAGCCTCAGATAGCAATATTTGTTAGCTAACATCTCAGAAGAACATCAGGCTGTTTTCATACCCAGTTCATTTTCTAAAGACCACACCACAGCTTATCGTCTATGTGTATACTAATTTAAATTTAACCAATCAGGTTGCTGATGTTTGGCTAAAAACATACTCCACGATCCATGTGGCAAAATCAAACGCCTTTCATTATTTTATTGCTTGTCTTTCGTTATTTACAGCAGCTCACAATGGAGGAACGATCTGAGCATTTGTAAAGAGTAACATCTTAAAGTAGCAGATTGTGCAGACAGTACAGCGAAAATGTGCACTGGAAAAAAATGTGCTCTGGTGTTGAATTCCCTCACGAATTAGCGCGGTTCAGTTGCTTGGTGCGGACCTGAATACATGTGCAGTGTTCGCATGTCAAAACCGAACTAAGTTCGACAGGTCTGCACCATCCACAGCAGATCTGAAAGCACCTCCCAGCAGAAATGGAGATTCTGATGAGTCTTTATTTGTGCTGGTCAGCGCTTCATGCAGTTTATGGAAAGCTGAGGTTTTATGTGCGTGTCCTGAAATCAGAAAGTAGTGGGGCCCCAGTACTTTGAAAAGTGGCGGGTCAAATGCCCACTCACCCCTATAGTTCCGGCCGCCCTGTGACATGTAAACGCTGCCCTGGTGTTTGTTCAATCACAAGTGAGTCAGCTACATTGCCTATCTAATGCCATTTTTGATAGTTTTCTTCTTTTTGCCTCAGGGTTTTTGAGCCAGATTGTAATGAAATTTTCTCTTTGAAAAATCAGTCACAAAGCACTTCTGCCTACATTGTAGACAGATCCAGTACACAAACTGATGCAAACCCTCTTTTCCTTTTGCTGCCGCAAAGCTCATGGGTATACAGGCAAACTAGTAACCAAAGACCATGAATGACATAATTATAAACTAAATAAATATGGAAACATACAAGCAAAAGGAAGAAAAAGTAAAGGAGAAAATATTAAAAGGCTGAAGTGTAACTTTTTCCCTCAAAAGAAGACAACAAATTAAGAGTTAAACCATGCTTGTGGTATTCATTACCAAGTGTTTGACTTTGCTCACCGCATAAGGACAATTTTCTACAGTCCGGCACTAATGAATCATCACTGAGTGCAGGTCTGTCCGGCAGTCTGAATAATGAGAGTACATTACATGTGAGAAGGCTGGCTAAACAGCTCTGTGAGAAACACTCAGCACCAGGGTAGTCTGATAACTCAGCCAGGCGTGGAGCCTCCAGCACGCTCCCAGCCCAGGGCAGTGCTGACAATGGGTACCTCTCTTCAGCGCTAGCTCCTCAGAGTGTGGCCTCGGGAAAGAAGTAAGAGGGAGGGGAAGCAGGAGCAGGTCAGAGTCTGTCTATTCCCAGGCTTTCTCTCAAACCTTCCACACATTCACCCCCTTCTCCCTCCTGCTAGCCAGACAGCATCGCATGGAGCCCTGCACTTCGGCCACTCTCGCGCACAAGTTCATCTTTCACTCATTTCTGCAGGCAGTGGGAGAGAAGCCACAAACACCAGAGCCCGAGCAATGAGCCCTTTGTTTATAGAGGAAATAAGAAGTACGCATGTGTAACGTGGATACTGCCAGTACTCTCAGTGAACTGCAATTATCTTCCCCCACAAACCTACTTTGGTATTATCTGATTTCCAAAGTATTCCACTGGTGAAAATTATTTAATCCAAAGCCCTCAGTGCACCTCTGTCTCAATCTTTCACTAGACACAAAAACAACACAAAACAAAACAAGAAAAAAGGTACTGGAGCTAAAGATTTTTTTACACTATGAAGAAAGGGTCCAAAAAGCAAGCACGTCCATGTTGCACTGCTGTTTTTCACATTAAAAGCAACAGAAAGCACCAGAAAAAGAAGTGTTAAAAGAAAGTTAATGAACCATACAAAATAGCTGGAGGAGCATAAAGTAATGTCATCATCTGTTCAGCATAATCCTGTGATGTCTCGAAATCTAGTGGAACATCGCAAAAAACTTTAAAGTGCTGCAAAGTTAGGGAATCCCGACAAAGTGTGATCTGGCCACAGGCTCCCCATCAATAATCCACAGACACTAGCTCTGCCAACAAGAAGACTGAAGTCAGATTATGAAGTCTGCCACTGAGTACTTGGCCCAGTAAAAACTGAAGTCCCTGAACAAGCTCTTTTAGAATCGAAGGCATGCAGGGAAGTTAACAGGCCATAACCTACACTTTCACAAGCAATTACTGATTAAGCACTTTTCAGGTCTCATCATACTGTAACAGCTGCTGAAAAATAAAAGCATGTCAGTGAAACAAGTTGAACAACAGATAGTTAAACTTCCACTTTTTAGAATAAAAATGTAGAACAATGCTGCCTGGGCTATGTTTGCAGTACTCCAACCTGCATGAGAATAGAATCCATTCATCAATGACTTCATTCATAAAAATACAACTCTAAGTGCATGCGTAACACTCATAACTAAAGCCACTTGGCTCTGTCCAGTGCTGAAATGGCACAACATAGAGAAAATTTATTTCCACAAGGGGAATAATGCACCTTCTTAATTAAAAACCACAAGGAACCCACCATCTAAATAAAACTATTTGTCCATTGGACAAGGACTTGTTACACAAAAAAAAGTTGTCAACACTTCTCTACTCTTCTATAGAGTCTGGTTAACTACTATCGGCCATACCTGCTCAAGCTTATTAACATCTTCAGGAATCTTTTGCCATGTCCAATACTGCAGAGTTCTACTTTAAAGATTATACTTAAGCTCATTCTACACCAGACAAGGTAACCATAGCATACCATAGGTAAACACAACCATTAACACTGGCCGCATGTCATGTGCCACTGCAGCAGTATCGCACGCTAGAGGCACAAAAACACGATTTGTGTCTCTTTATGATGCTGGCAGGGTGCAGCATGCTATAAGTTTCGAGCTTGCAACAGTAAAAAATTGAGTATTCTTGCTAATAATCAGAACAGCACAGAGATATGTTTTAAGATGCAGTAGCAGCATTGTATTAGCATAAACCTCAAGATGGTTCTAGAGTCTCTAGAGACCGATGAGGGAAATAACTGAGGAATCAGCCATGTAAAATCTTTCAAATAAGGCAAACAGCTATCCTCAAATGTCGGTTTGTGAGAAAGGGGCCAGGGGAACAGCATGTAAGATGTGCTTTGGGACTATGCAGAGGGGGCAGATCTTTGGGAGGAGGATTGGTGACAAATTAATGACATCAATGGTTAAAAAAAGGCAACATCTACATTATGGTCATAATTCCACCAATGACCTCCCACCAGAGGGAACACGTGCCACTCAAATAACAATAAAAAAAAAACAATTATTGTCCAATTATTCCACAAATATATTAAAGACCTACCAGGACCCTGAAGAAGTAGAGGTACTCTGCTGCACCTGAGTAATTCCCACACTCATACTGGAACTTGGCATATCTGTACAGTGTGTCCAAGTACTCCTGGCGGAACTGAAAACAAAATGAAAGAGGTTAAACAATATCTATAACAATGTCAATGCTATGTTTATGAATGTTTTTACTAAATGACATTACAGTAAAGCAGCCTCAAAGCTCAGCAAATGCTACTGCAGGACAGTATCTTTTAGGATTCAGGAATAGACCAGCTAACAAACTCAGCTGCACTGAGCTTGTGGCCAGTGTGAAGTGTACAACTGCAGGATGTGTGGGGGTTGTGGGGCTGTTTGAAGACTGTTAATATGAATGACCCCTGTGTTAGTGCAGTAAAAGCACCAATGCCTGTGAATTGAGGTGCACTGAGGACAGGCCCCAGGTCAGTGGGATGTCGGGGTTGGAGGGGAGTGCCGTCACGTCAAATATAGAATCCCCAAGCATTTTTGCGGCCAGACCCACGGGTCTCGAGCTGTTCAGTTTATTCTTAACAATTCACCACAGAATGTAAATGTCCGCAGAAATTTCTGCAAGCCATAAAAACCATGAAAATGAGTTAAGGTTTTGGGAAGTCATTTAACGTCTCCATGCTCGGGGCTGCCCCTCCCGTCAGCCCCCCAAAACAAGGCTGGGTTCACCGAGAAGTCATGAGAACTCCTTGGAGCTGTGGAGGAGACAGTAGAGTTACTTACACCATGCTTGTCGGCCAGATAGTCAAACAGCATACGCCCGTCCCTGGAAGAGGAAAAAAAACTGTGGTTAGTAGGGGTTTTTTGGACTGTTTCTACGAACTTTTCATAGTTGTAATCTCCAATGTGTAAGCGAATTACAAGTTCTTTTGTATGTGTAATATAGGCAAGAGAAAGGAAAGATTTATCAGATTTATTTAAATTGTAAATAACAATGGCATTACACTCAAAACTAAGATGAAAGCATAAAATAGAAAATAATTAAAAACTTATTAAAAATTAAATTAAAAACCATTCCATAGCTGTCTCCTCATCAGACCTACTGCTGCTCATGTAACTTGGGATTTCGTGACTCTGGGCAGATAAATAGGTACGAGGGGCTGGTAACCATGCTTTCTGCACCACCACCCCCGCCAAATGTGGCCAACCTCTAAAGAACTGTGTCTCTGAACACCCCAGACAGAAAGAGGAGGTCGTGAGTTTATTTTATTTGAGGGGAGCTTCAAAGGCTGTTTATAAAGGCGTTCTCCTATTGCACTGCTTCTGTGCCATTATACTGTCATCCAACAGATGCTGAAACTCAGGGTGGAGAACAATCTCCCTTAATGGCCCTTTATGAGTGCCCCTCAATCTGTGAGCATCTTTGCTTTCAACCACCCCTCAGTTTCTTCCCAGTCAGACAACCCTCATCCCTCAACTCTATGTGCTCTTGTTTACAGCCTCACACATAAGTCTGCACACGTTTGTGTGTGGGATAGCAGCATAGACCTACACTCAGTCAGCTCCCAGCAGCTCCTCCCTGGGCAGCGATCCCGAGCAGACCGCAGCGGCCTCCCTGTGGAGGTGAAGGTGCTGCCGCTGAGCTCTGTAGGTGGGAACACTTAGTCCTCGGCAGTTTAACGCAGCTCACCCACCATCGTACCCGCCTACACCCAAGTGTCCTCGTTTCATCAATGCTACCAAGAGGCACTAACACACCTCTGAGCACTGCGTCACCTGCTAAAACTGAGCAACAGAGCAGGAACAAGCGCAGCAAACAAGCAGTCACACAAATTGACTCAGTGGACAGAAAAAAGTACAGGAACAAATAAATAAAAGTCCTGTTCCAGATTTCCTGGTTGCATTTTAACTTGTGAGACACCAGACACCAAAAAATGCCCCTTGAAACCCTAAATATTCAGATCGAACAAGTAAACTTCAAAGCAGCTTGTTAATTAGGAGCAGACAAGCATCCGAGTAGCTTAATTAAAACTGCACCCACTTCTTAAGCCACAGCTTAATCCTCGACTGTGATAAACGTGTTTTGGAGAAACGAAAAGTACACCAGTTTTCAAAAGATGCCTAATAGATCTACCACCTACCACGGCCCCTCACATGAGGCTCAGAGGCAGCCTGCAAAACTCCATTCTGTATGATTTCCTGAGAAAATAAAGGCCTATGGAAACAAAGTGACTCATTGTATCAGACTCAAACTGAGACGGAATGCTTGTGTTGCACACATGAAGAAAAGCAGTACTGAACAAGTGACCGCATCATGTTACAGATGGGCACGGACAAAACTAGCCCATTGCTGAATGTTTTTCTCCGCAAACGAACAAGAAGCATCTACAAACAAACTAGGCAGTTCTCAGAAAGATATTTACAAATGGAGGTTCAACCCACTACAATATGAACGCAACCAAATTGCAGCAGAGCACAGCCTCAAGATCATGCTTTTAGAAATCCAAGTTAACTTAAAGGGGCTCGCTGTATACATGACAAAATTTAGGCCTATCAAATGACCCATACAGAACTATATTCTGGGGAAAAATCCATTCACTTCTTGTTTTAAATCAGAAACGATCTAAGTCTGTGTAAAAGTCAAATCTAAGCTGAACCCTTGGCAACTTAAATCTTGTATATGACACATTTATTATACTGGCAGACACTTAACAATTAAAGTCGAGGCAAAATCATTCCAAAACAATTATAAAACCCCTACTGTTTCTTTAGGGGGTGACTGAAATGACAGCTATACAATCCATTCACACATCTGCTTCTGGGCTTTAAATTTAGTGTGCAGCATAGATCCAAGCACAATAGTGCATTGATTTATAAACCCATTACAATAAACGGTCCTATAATCCTTAAAAGAAAAATAACTAAACTCTGCAATGATTTGTGTCACTTCAAACTGAACAGAATATTTAAGGATGAGACTTTGTTGATTTAGAGTTTTTTTTTGTTTGTTTTAGTAATCCTTACACTTCTTAATAAATAAAAATGCTTCTGATCCTTATAATTCAGACTGCCTGATGGATAGAACAGCCTTTAGTAAACCAAAGATCATCTTGCCAAGGACCTACGCAAAGTCTGAATACTGAGCTTTACCAAAATATTTTAATTATGGCAAAGTCAGCACCAAAAACATAGCCTTAATACCGCAGGACCTTGTAGCATTTTATTCAATGTGTTTTCTAAGCTCAAAAGAAGAGGTTATTACCCTGACCAATTCAAGGGGTAATTCCCATCCAGCATGCACCATCGCTTTGACTGCAAATCCCAACTAACACACGTAAATCATTCCAATCGCAATTAGTTTTGGCACATCTCCTGACAAAACTCCATCCCCAACCATAATCACCCCTCCTGTTCTGATAAGTAGACAACGATATTATGGATGGCAAAATTACTGACAGTTTAACTGTTACTCACTACTAATATTTATCTCATATTGTCTCAAACTGCACTGCAGTAAGAAAATAAATACTGTTTTATACATCTGAAATTGCACCAGGCTATGTAAAAAGCAAACCCAAACATACCTGCAAACTTGCAGGTTCAAACCACAGGGACCAAGACTAGATTATCAGTTATGGATATATGAATAAATGCATGTATAAACTCATCAGCTCAAATATAACCTACAACCCATCTATCAATAAATCAATCATGTAACATCACAAATTCCCTCAATACAGCAACAACCTTTCATCTATACATTTCAGTGAAATAACACAATCGCCTATTATTTGATCACTAGAAGGTGTTGGTCTAGATGATCTTAAAAGTAGCTCAATCTGCTGAGCTGAACTGTGTTACTTCTATAAACTATACTGGTTAACTTTTGCTCTTATAAAAGTTTGAGTTCATTTTGAAAGCTCTATTGATGTCCACCATTAGTCATTTTGTATTGTAACCAGTAAATTAAAACAGTAGCAACAATGCATGAGCTATTTTCTAGCTATTTTATTATGTCAGGTGCCTGACTCGAGTGATGGGGGTGGGTGATTCTGTGACCATTGTGTCTGCACTAATAGTTCCACCCATATGTGCTGTTCAAGCGCTTTTTAGGTCAGAATCCAAAAACTCATGAACTTGAGAGTTTTTTGCCCGACCCAACTCGACACACAACAACGTGTTTTGAATCCGAACCCGACTTGACCTGACCCACACCTTTTTGAACCAAAACCTGACCCGAGCCCAACAATTTACGTCTGTCCGAAAACAGCCTATTACCAAAGTACCAAATAAAACCCCCAGAAGTGGTTAAATTACTGCATAGCAGCAATAATAGCCATCATTAGATCGGAAATAAATCAAGTTGCAAAATTATGTAAAATAATATGATGAAATAAACGAACAATTAAATTGCTCTTTAACAAATTTATTCATCAAGCAAAGCGTTTTAAAATAATGAAAGTAAAGTTAGAAGAAATGCTGAACCAGGGAGAAAGATAAAAGTGGGAGGTGGGCTGTGAGAACCTAAACATGAAATTTGAACCCAACTCTACAACTACTGGGAAAATAACATCAAAACCTGATGTGAGCAGTTGGGTCCCATTGGGTTTTGACAAATATTTCAGGCTCTACCCAGTATGGCATACTCAGTGCCCCAGCAAGAACGGTATGCAACTTCAGCATGGGCATTCAGGTACAGCATGGATCAACTGAGACTTTGGATTATACCGCACTGCTGTACTGCACAACCTGTGGGATATGAGTTGAAGAGCGTGTTGAAAGAAATGGTGTATAAATATAAGGAACAGGGTATGAAAAATTGGGGCAGTGCTGTTGTATGCATAATTACTAACAAGTTCCCTAAGCCCACCTTGTTGACTGCATTTGTCTGGTGGTCTCAGGGTCCTCAAACATTTTAACAATGGGCTCTGTCTCAGACTGCAGCTGTTTGAGCTGGGCCACAACTGCAGTCCTCTTCTCTCTCAGGGCTGAAAACAAAACAAAAGTTTTGTAAATTGACTAATTCTCAAAATGTCATTGCTTGTTATGAACAGAGTTAGAAGAGTAGCTAATATGACTACAAAACAGATTTCACACCATGGAAGGTCAACTTACAGTTTGGTATTTCCTTGTCAGGAAACAAACTCTTGTACACATCCATGGCGAAGTCCACCATGTTGGTGTCACTGAGAAGATCAAGCTTCCCATGAAGAAGCTCGGTTTCATTGTATATCTGTAGTGATAAGCAGTCAAACAAGCAACTCGCACGCTGAGCACATGAGTAGACAGCAGAGCCACAGTAACACTTCATACGATTCAAATGCTAATATATGACTGTTTGCGGTGTTATTCGTGCTTGTTCCCATCACCAGTAGTGCAATGTAAACATATACAACAATTAATGTATACTGTTAGTTCACTGTGAAATGTACATTTTAACTTTCATTAAATTAGCTATGCTAGCTAACCTAGCTAACGCTAACCGCCTTACAAACCCGAAAAGGCCGCTAAGTGATGTACAAAAAGCCTAAAAACAGTATAACAGCGGCCGCTGTTTCTTTATCGTTACAGTTTCCACTTTTACTTATTTTTACAATTTTAAAGAGACAAACAACCAAACGGGATTGAAGCTTCCTGGCTCTCTCTCCGGCTTCTTCTTCGAACTTTCCCGTTCCACCTTAAATGGGGCAGCAGCTATATTCTGGCGCCAGAATGAACTGCTACGCCATTTAAGGTGGAACGGGAAAGTTCGAAGAAGAAGCTGCAGTTAGAAGACCGCTTCATCTCCGTGCTCAATCAAGCAGATAAGCTAGTGAGCTAACGAGCTAATGCTAACGCCTCACACGTGCTTCAACTACAGCTTCTAGATCACAAATAAAAAGTCCAACAGAACCTTTTCACTTAAAAACGCAAACTTTGTGTGTACCTCTTTGACAGACAGGAATTCCAGCAGCGGGAAAACGAGATGTCTGTCCAAAAAATGAGCAATTTTGGTAGTCAGGTCGTAGTCCGCCATGTTGGCCACGGAAAAGGGTCCGCTTCAAAACTATAAAGCTTTATTAGGAGAAGTGGAGCTAACAGCACAAGAGCTCTACAGTGAGAGCCTGAAACAGAGTTTTACTTTCTGACAGCAGGACTTTAAAACGTTTTAGACTAGACTAGACTAGACTAGAATAGAGTCAGTTTGTTGTGTTGAATTTATTTTTAATTGTTTAGGTTAAACGTTTCCATCTTCTATGACAAAAATGTACATTTGAGATGATTGAGTGATGTACATTTACAAACTTTATAAACTTTTAGTGTAATTTAATATTCCTTTATCATTTAAACTTGAACAATTGATGTTGTGCCCAGTGTAATATCTGTCTAGCTGGGAAGATTTGTGCTGTACTTGTGCTCTTACTCAGTTACATTTGCAACATAAAAATACACCTTTACTCCTTACATTTTACTCGCTACTAATTTCAGCAGGGAGATTTTTGTCTTGTTGTTTTTTTGTCTCTTGCCAATTGAGTTCTGGCACGTATTTATTTATTTACTTACTTACTTATTTTTTTATTATAGAACATTTTGTATATTTTCTTACGCCACGCGTTGAAGTCATGCATGCCCTGCCTCTTTATTGTATGTTGTAAAATACTTATTTTTTACTTTTATGTACTTGAGTGTGTTTAACAATGGATACCTTTTACATTTACTCAAGTACATTTTTAAGCTCCATACCTCTGATTTTAACTGATAAATTAAAATGTGCTAAATAAAATATTGCTTCTCTTTACTTTTTCTACCTTGCTCACTAATTCTTTTTTTCTTAACCTAATTTCATTATGTTACCCAGGCAAAAGCATCTGTATACTTTGTGATTGGCTGCCCATCTTTTGAGCATTAAATGTTTCATTTTAGACCAAGAATGCTTCAAACAGAAGAACAGCTCATAACAAATTTCACTTTCTGTGCTTATAGATGCTGGATGTACTAAAAAGATTTGCTGCAGTTCCTGCTCAGTGCCTGAGGAGTTTTTAACTTGCTATTTTTGTATTTTTTATTCAAGTTGTTCATTTGGAAATTTACTTGACTCATGATTTCACCAATGTGACAATGCGCTATGAGTGTCACTCATAGTGGCCACTCTACCTACCTCTGGTTACTATAGTGAGTATATTTTCAAAATATAAAGGAAAAAGTACAAAAACAGCAACAAACTTAAAAATGATTTTAGTGCACAATTTGTTTGCTGAGTTTAACACAATGGGAAAAAATTAAAGGGGCTATTCTATATGTTTTATTTCCCAATATGTTAAAATTAAGCAAATAAACAGTAATTGTGCATTAAAGTGTACAGAAGTGAGTTCTAGAGGATGTGTTAACTTATTTTCATTTAGAAAATTAACAAAACATGTCATTTGACCTAAGGTGCCTAAACTTTTGCATATGACTGTATACTGTATAATTACTGTATATCAGTGTGTTATGCCTCTGACATAGCAGACAAAAAGAGAAAAAAAACTCTGGCATTTAGTCCTTATTTCTGCAGCTGTCCCATAAAGATGCCCATGTGCTGGCCATACCATGCAGTGAAGAGCCAATATCAGCTACTAAATGGTCCATCTCTAATAGGTTCCACTAGCACCATGTTTGCTTGACAACCACATGGCTCTGTCGTAGATACCAAAAACAATTTCCCTCTTGTTACAATGAGCACTCTTTCTAATGTCTAGCTTCAGGTAGAAATGAGTCATAAACACATAGTAGCCACCACAGCCAATTCTGTTTTACTGGGTGCCTCTGACACAGCCAGTCCTGGCCAACTGACAGTGCTCTCTCAGACTCTTTATACTCACAAGAAAAAAAGAGAGAGAAATCAAGTCCTCTTTGTCTCAGGAGAGTTTAGAGAACTCATGTATTTTGGCAAGGTGCTTTAGATTTGAGTGAATGTTTTAGTTCTGTTAGTTTTGGTGCTCAAACTGCTTCTTTTGGATTTCTATAGTCTGCTGATAATCAGTGTTGGATCCTGTTGATTTTAATTAGAGTATGAACTGACTTCTGATACAGATTTGATGGTCAGAAAGATTTCAGACCATCAAATTTGAATGTTTATATTTTTATGCTTTAGTGATTTTATAATGCACATGAATTTCATATCGGCATTTTAAAGAGATCAATCAAAATAAAGTACATTTTCATAAGTAACTTCCTAGAAGAGCATATCCCATTACACTGTTTTCTACTAAGAAAAAGACTACTTTATTTTGATTTCAGAGTTTTAGATTTTAATATAAACCATAATCAGATCTTTTTATGATTGTTTTCTTTCTGTTAAACAAAAAATTGCCTGACATTTTCTGATATGAAAATTAAATTAAAGGAAACTTTTACAAAGACGCATATTTAAAACCCTTCAAATACTTAAATTAACTTTTAAGTTAATTTATCCTATTATCTATAAGTGATACTAAAAACAACAGCAAAAATAATAAGAACACAATGATCCATTATTATTATTATTATTATTATTATTATTATTATTACTATTATTATTGTTGTTGTTGTTGTTGTTGTTAATGCATAATGAAATATTTGAGATGTAAACAGAATCATTCAGAGTGGATTGCTGTGAAATGATTCAATCTGTAGAAACTTGGATGGAGTTAAAATTGTTCACAATGGTGGTGATAGGAACCAGACATCTGAAGAGTTAAATGCCTCTAAAAGCTACATTGTAGAAAGTATTTCATGTAGTGGTTACAAATACCTTGCTTGATGCCTGAGACTTTTTTTACAATAAGTTTGAGAGAGGCTTTTGACCCGAAACATGTTTTTAAATTTATTGTCGGCGGACAGTGCCCAAAGAAATCTAAACCAAACATTTCCTTCTTTGGATTTATTGCTATAGTACCATTATCAATATCACATATCACTGCTGTTGGAACAAAATCTTGCATCTCCATTTTTGTCGTTTTTCAGTTTTTATCGAAATCTGAAAATGTCTGTTGCCCTTTACATTCTGAAAATTTCATGATGAATGAACCAAAAGAAATGACACAAAATGACTTAGGGAAAAAGTCTGGTTCCATTGACTTACATTGAAAGTAAAGTACGTTTTTTCGTTCTCCTGTAAAAGTTACTATTTTGGAGATACAAGGTTTTGTTTTGACAACCACGATGTAAAACCTTCTGTGTAAGCTCACTGATCATTTTGGATATTAAATCAAATTTATGTTATAGACATCATGACGTCCAGTTCCTATCACCACCACTGTAAAGAAAATCTGATATAAACAAGTAATGCTTGTTCATTTTAAATAAGAATACACTAATGTCAATAAATGACACTATACATTACATGCTTGCCTCTTTGTTTGATAAAAATGTAGTTTTTACAGCAACTTCGTATTTGTCATGTGAATTTGATCCAGCAGTGACCAACTGTTTGAGAAAAGTAAGAAGCTCTGTGAAGTGCTGTTTATAACACAGTCAATACATACATTGAACCATAGGCTAAATACCACAAGCAAAACACTGTTTGACAAAGAATCTTGCATGCATGTTTATTCTGAAGCCAGATTGTTCTGGTTTCTTCTGTTTCAACCAGCCAATCATTTTAATGAAGGGACCTCTTTGAGCTTAGCGCAGGAAAATGTGCACCCCAAAAGAGGTCCTCAAAACAATACTGTAGCTGTTTAACTGACGAGAGAGAGCGAGAGGGGGAGAGTAGCAGTGATAGAACAGCTGAAAATCTTTCACATGTGAATATCGCCTGCGAGAAGGAACCTCTTTTGCAATAACTTGAAATGAAAGTTTCCGTTATAGAAATTTGTCAGCATGCTGTGCTTAAAACTGCCACATTACGGAATGATTAAGAACACGTGAAACCATGGCGTGTTACTGCCTGTGGTTATAGACCCTGACAGTTAAGTGCACATGAAATCCAGTGACTAGCACAGGTCACTGAAAACCCCCTTTAGAAGATGGAGCCCACGAAAACGAAAAAATGTGAAACTTGTGATCCTTGACACAAGTGAAGCAAAAGTACTGGCGTACAAAACACCTTTCACTGTGTGGCGAGTCATTTCAGCTCAATCAGAGCCATTTAAAAAAAGGATTTTTTTTTTTTTTACCGTGAATCATACCTAATTGTGGCTTGGGTGCTGCGGGGGGAAACTGTGAATGCTAAGGTGATTAACACGTTGAAGTTCCACTGAGGAAAACACACGGTGCCACAGTGAATAGAAGACCTGTCTGCGTTTGCAATTTCAAGAAGTCAGTGAACCCGAGTCCCACTAGGCCTCTATAACTCAGCTTCTTGAAAGGAGAACTAATTCTAACCTAAATTTTTATAAGCTCATTTGACTGAGGAAGTGTTGAATGAGCTCATAGTGCAGGGAGTAAGATTGCCAGTAAAGTGCAACAAATCAATTTGATCGAAAAAACCGACACAATTAATATTTTGTGAAAATAACCTTCTTGATGTTTTTGGACATGCCGTGTTTTCGTATATGGAAATGGATGGTTTAAATGGCTGTGGTAGACAGTAAAATGTTTGCAGGAGAAGTTCTGATTGCCCCAGATGTTGTTGCTGCTTTTTTACTACTGCTCTGTCTGGAAACTGAACTGTGCGGATGCTCCAGAATGGACTGAGTGAACACACACATACACGCCTACGCTTTCCCCACCCATCCTGACGGAGGAAAGTGGTGGATATGGCTACAACAATAATAACTTGCACAATTAAGTATTTCAATCCAAAACACACACATATAGACTCACGTAGTGGGGAGAGAGAGGGTAAAATCTGCAGCATCAGTTTTCAAAATGTTAATTTCAAGTTGTTTGATTGAATTTAAAATTTCAGAGTTAATTCAGCACTGATGACTTTTTCACCTCAAATTGAAATTTGCACTTCAGAGCAGAACTTTAATCAGTGCTATGGACCCATGACCAACTACAGACAAGCACTGAGAACATATTAGTATTATATCTTATAGCAAGCATTTTTATTTTAATCACATTTATTTTTTTGGTCATTTTCCATTGTTTTGCTTTTTTT